TATATATATATATATATATATATATATATATATATATATATATACCTTTTTGTTTTTTTGTAACCTCAAAAAAAAAAAAAAGCGACTACAAAAACAAACCCACCCACCCAGCCCACTCTCTCCATGTAGCAACACATGTACACTGTAGTAGTATAATATTAAGCATTAACCATATTTTTGAGAGTTCAGAATTAAGAGAAAAAAGCACAACAAAAATATTGGAATCATTGAAACACAGTAAAGATCAATGTTGATCAGTCTCTCAGGTCTAATCTTAGAATGTCCAAGAAAGGACAAGTATCCATATCCTGGGGTCAGGATATCAGAGGTTATCAGAATTACATTGTTCTGGTAGGTTTGGAAGTGAACAAAATTCCAAAACATATGAAAAAGATCCCCTACAGACGTCCTACACCTCTGGCATTTATCATTGATACTGGCATTCAGCTTATTCAAACTATATGGGGTATAACATATGCGGTGAAAAATATTAAATTCAATTTGCCTGTGTTTTGTTGATATTAATATTGTTTGAATTGAGTTTAGTAATCTGCCCCAGCTTTGGTCATCATAGTTGCAGTTTAAGTCCAATTCCCATCCTTCTGTAAATGGATCCACATTTGGGATCTAATAAACATGATCAAGCATCGTTTCCTCTGGTTTATTTGAAAATATCTCTATTTGACTCTTAATCCAGTGTCTGATCTGCAAATACCTGAAATGGTTGTGCTTATGCAAGTTAATTGACCGAAGCTGGCAAAGACATTATTGGTATTAAGATCGCCGGCTGTTCTAATGCCTTTTCTGCCCCAGGTTTGAAGTAGACCATTTGCTATAGGTTGGGGAATGCTGGGGTTATTATCGAGCGGTGTGTTAATCAACAATCGTATGTTTAGGTTTAAAAGAGCGAGTAACTGAAGCCATGCATTGTAGGTAGCTAAGATTAAATGATTTGATGTAATTGTAGAGAGCTGCTTTTTTTAACTCAAGAAAGGGATGATTGCCAGTGACATGGATCTCAATTCTTCTTGTTCTATTGAGACCCACCTCACATCGTTGCCATTTGAATAAATCCACTTCCATAGAGTACGAAACTGGGAGGCTTGGTAATACATTCTGAAATTTAGAAAATTTATTCTGCCTTTAGTATAGGGAGCCTGTAAAGTAAGAAGCTTACCTCTTGGGACCATGTGGTGGAACCTTCTACATTCACCACAAAGTGTTTGTATAGTTTCATAGTTTGTATTTAGTTCCAGATTTGGTTTAAGTTATTCCATTTAGATGTATATTTTCTAATGGGTGCACACTTTAGTTAATCTGTCTAAATGGTTTAACTCACGCTGCTTATTTTCTTCCAGGTTTTGCAAATTCAGATCAGCTGGAGGTGGAAGCCAGGAACATACCACTTTCCCAAACAAAGAACCTTAGTTATTTTTCCTCTTCAATATTCACTTATTTTTTGTGCTAAGCTTAAGAGTTTTCTTTATTTGTTTAATAGGTTTTAGTTTTGTATGGATTTTTTTGGATTTATTGGTTTTCTGTTTGATTGTACCTCCCCCATGTGGCAAGTTTAGGTTATTCCACCCCTATTTAAGCAGCCCCTGTTCTTTATCAGTAGGTCAGTTTTTGGTTTGAATCAGTTCCTGTTCAGTTGACCTCCGTTGAGTTGGTCCCAAATCCATGTTATTTATTATTTAAGCTATTTTGTATTGCCTTTGAGCCTCTGTTAATTCTTTTTGACACTATTAAATAAAAGTTGTTTTTTTTTTCAATTTTGAACACCTTTTGTACTTATTTAAGTTTGGTCCCACACAGGCTTCCTGTTAAATCCTGAATAGAATTTAAAAATCCTCCTTCCCACATATAAAGCCTTAAATAACAAAGCTCCATCTTATATCAGAGATATTTCATAGTAAAGGGATTTTAAGTTAG